GACTAGAAGAACACTAGACTCAAAAAGATGAGCTATTTAGTTGACAGATTTTGCTGCAGAAACCATGTCAAATTTTTCCTGTAAGCAGATCCTTTGCTAGTAATGATTTAAACCATGCCTGTCAAACATAAAAGGGATTTATCCTGCTGTCTGTGTTAGCTTAATATTTTGATATTTTACGACCTATTAAGAGGCACAGACAGGAGGCAAATGACACGTTCTTATGAGGCATTTTTAGAGGAAGAATTTGGATCAAATATATGGGTTTTTTGAATTTGCCAAGAACTACATAGAGCAGATTGAATTCAGAATGATTTTCTCTTCTTGAATTGTTCTACAAAAGAGATAGATTGTATTGCTTTCTATATATCACATTTTTTCAAGGAAATTGCATTTCAAATTGCACTGAAATCAGGATATCTGTTTTGAAAGAGACACACTACAGCTAAACCTGTTGGTGAAACTCAGTCACACATCTGCCCCTTGAGAAGAAACTGCAGTTTACAGAATTTCTCCTAATACTTTTGCTGAGCTTTGTTAGTCATCCAACTCCTTCTATAGATTGATGAGAATTCTTTGTTACAATTCTCACTATGTCTTTATAACTATTAGTGTGTGCTATGAAGCATGACAGTTTTATTTCTAGTGAATTCTTTACGCTAAAGGAGGTAGAGTTTCCATGGAAGTGTTACTTTGCATGGATCTCATAAACATATGTTACTGTTATTTGCCAAAGTTGATTCACGCTGTGTTCCAAACAACTGAGATGTTAATCAGAACACATTAAATTAGGAGTCTAAATTAATATTAACTGAAAGATATTAGTGATTTAAAGCACCTGAAACACATCTACTTACCTCTTCTCTGCCTTTACTTTCTCCTTCTGACTGAAAAGCATCAGAAGTCTGTCAACACAGGAGAATAGACAAATTTGATCCTCCTCTTGGTGGCAGAAGACTCGTTCTGATGACACTGCTCTTTGGAAATACTAAAGGGTGTCATGCTACTTTTGGAAGAAGTTAATGCAGCACATCTCTGCCTTGTTGCTGCTCACTACATTCCCTTCCTTTCCTTCAAAGAGGATCTCCCCTTCTTCATTAAATGTCATGACATCCATTGTACAGATAAAGAGTGCGAGTATGTGGCAGGGATTTCCATCTGAGACTTGATGCTGGGTAAGGGCCTTGTGATGCCCCAGGACACAAAGAGACCATAAGTGATGGTCACTACAAAGAAAGGAACATAGTTATCCCTATGCCTGCACTCTAAACTAGTCCAGACTTGACATGTGGGCAGCAGTTTCTCCAAGCAGTCAGAGAAGACTATGTCTGTATTAACACATAATTTTGGGAATGTGAGAAGATCTGTACAATGAAGCAGTTGGTGCTGAGTATCTATCTCATGTTAAACCTAAGTGCCTCTGAAGGGATTTTTCCTCACTCTATCTCTAATCTAATTTAATAGACAAAATGGTTGGAGTAGGGTAGGTAATATGGTGTGTAGCCTATCTCCTAATTTAGTTAAGGAAGAGATGACTACATTTACAACAGAAAACAATCCTGCTGGTTTGAACACTGTTTTCTTAGATGTTACAGTTAAAAACCTTGACCTGGAACTTTGCACAGGACTAATTCACTGTAATTTTCTGTGTGTGTATGTACACCTGAAAACTATTGTAGTCTCCCTCAAATGAGATTCTGGTTTGCATGGTCAGTTCTAGACAGCTGAGCTGTAAAAAGAAACATTGGATGAAGCCATTGTAAACTTTAGTCATATGGATATGAAGTCCAAAGGTCTAAACTAAAAGTAATCACTCAGTATTAATGAACTTGAAAACCAGCATGTTACAGCACAACACTTGATGGAAGGATAATTTTTTTTCCTTTTATGTCCTGGAAGAAAGTGGGCAAGAAGGGAACACTAAATTTTTTATATCTAATAGTGTATTTCCATAATCAGAACTACACTGTGATTCTGATTTGATTAATTTCTCAAGTAATTTTGCAGTGCAGTTGTTCCTTATCCCCATATGCAGTTCTACAAAAGACAAACTCTGGTGATACAAAATGAGTGTAGCATGCCTTCTCCCTTTCCTATTATATGGTTTCTTTGGAGGTGATCAAGCTAGACATTCTCAGGATAGAATATTGGTAACATACTATATGAGGTCCTCAGGAATATCCAAAAAGTTGTATTAATCCATATTATAAACGACAATTTTTTTTTCTTTTTAACTTAATGACAAATATAACAATGACTGCTGTATTTCTTGGGGAAAAATAGCCAGTTCTATGCTCTTTTCTCATCATGTGGACCTTCCAAGAAAGGGTAAAACCCTTGTTATTATTTCATTTTACAACCTTCAGGTTTTTTTTTTTTTCAGACCTGACCACCACAAAAATCCTGGCCTGAAAGAAAACAAAATTAAAAATGTGTGGGTTCCCTGTTTTCCATCAGTGCTGCCATGCCCTCATCTCCAGTAGATCTCTGTGCTCTGACTTACTGCTGCGGTAGGACAGGATTGAAAGGGGAGGTGGCAGCTCCTACTGCCAGAGCACACCCCAGCATGGGACATGGAGCCACACCAACCCCTACCTGGCTGCAACTGGAAAATTACAGGTTATGTTTTAGTCTTCATCCTGAGCTCTGGGCTGTAATCGATACCAAACAAAATCAGCTATCCCTTGTATACCTTTTCTTGCTATTTGACACCTAAATATTAAATAAAAATACCTTTTGACCTAACTCTTTTGTGTTTTTCTAATGAAGAGACAGATCAATAACTAGAAATCTCAGAAGGTGTATACCAGGCAGAAACTCACAGAAAGTGCAGTAGGAGATGTCCCTCGAGATATGGGTGACCTTCTTTCAGCTCTTTTTCTTTGAAAGGATTTCAAGTTATCTATCACAAGCTATGGTGAGGTAGAGTGTTTTGTCTGCTGTTGAGCTCACTGTACTTCACATGAAATAAATTTGTTTTCATTAAGCTGCAAAGAGGTATAAATCTTTATTCCCACAGCAGACTAAAGTCTAATTTCTCATTGTTTAGTGTCAGGAAGCACTCTTACAGTGAGCTGCTGCTTAATAAAGGTGACAATGGGCCGGTATTCCAGACAGAGTTTGAATTGCTGCCTCATACCTATCCTCAGCATCTTCCCTTGCACACAACTCCCTAGGGTCAACATACTGACTCCTCTGGGTCTGTGAATACAAGCTCTGCTCTGCTGCTGCTGAGTTTGGACTTGAGAGGACAAAAAGTTCAACCAAATATTTGTTAGTGGACATGAGATTTAGGTCACCCTCATTTTAAGTGTCTGCAGTAAGACCCTGGTGACTAACAGCAGCTACAGCAAATAGAGTACAGCCAGCAACGTGAGCAAGTCCTCTCATCAGGTGCAGGTCCCTACTTGGGATGAATTAAATGGCTCTCAGCTCTACTGACTACACCAATGACTCTAGTGAGAGCTTAGTCACAGAGTTTATGTGTAGATACCCACATTATTAATACCTGCAATAAAATGAGTTTAATCCTCCCCTAAAGCTTCTATGTCAGTAATCTTTTCAAAATCATCTATTTTGTGTGCTTTAGGAAGGAATTTGGATTATGAGTTATACTAGGAAAATGAAGAGATGGATATGTATTTCCTAACAGATTTTGTGAAATACATGCCAAGATGATTTTTTTTGCCGTTGGTTTGGTTTCTTGACATTGTTTATGTGTGTGTGTACATGTACATATACATGAATGCACACACATACATATGGATCGTGTACCTGTGGTAAATAAAATTTTCCTAAGTTTCTCCCTTCTATACTCATTTATAATACTCGTTTGCTTACTGCATATACATATTGGAAGGCTATTAATTAAAAAAAAATACATTGAAGTGTTAAGCACCTTATTGATTAAAATTTAAAATTGTAACTAAGCTCACTTTACATTATATTTTCTTTTGCATATGGATGGATATTGCTTGATTGTGTGCAACATGTTTAATATCCAAGAAAATAATCCAGTAAATGCCTTGCTACCAGAATCACCCTAAATCTAAACACAGGGTATATGGTGGAGCTGCCATGGTCTTATGCCTGCATCTGAGGTGGTGTGTAACATTTATGGATTTTTATAATTTACTCTGGTTTTAAGTAGCTTACCTTAGACAACTTATTTAGTATCAAGATTTCCAGTGGAGCCCTAATTCAGAGGTGAAGACAGTTTAATTTCTGGTATTTCGATAAGGGTGTCAAATGATCTAAGTGTTAAGATTCTTTTTTATCAATTTACTGGGAATAAGTTGCCTGAATATCTTCAAGATTCTCAGATGATAGCCTAGGCACCAGAAATCTGAAGTTAACATTGGTATGAGTTGAAATTTTGTGTGGATGACTCCCATCCATTCCTGAAAAAAGTATCTGTGATACCTGAGATATACGATAGCAATGCCTTTTAAAATGAAAAAACATATTCATAGAATGTAACCAGACTCAGTAGGAAACAAATAAAATCAGTTCTTCACAGGTGAATAACTGATTCTTAAATTTCTTCACTAGTGAACGATCTTTTCTTAAACACTTTCTGAGAGCTGCTGCACAACTTTGAATGCTGTGCTTCAGATTCTTGATTTATCTGGCATAAGAATGCAGGCAAACAAAGGTGAATAAGCTAAAATTGAGACCCACCTTTCTCTTTTTTTTCTGAATATTGCACAACATGCAACCTCTTTACTCTGTGTATTGCATGACATGAAGTAAAATAAATCCTCCACCAAATTATTACGTGTAAAAAGTAACCAGAACAATTTTTTTCTAGCAATTTTGTTTTGTAAGGCTAATGACTGACAGTATGTATCATAATTGTGCATTACTAGAGCTGAGCTCAAATTCCAGCACCTCCAACAAATCCTTGTGATGTGGAATACCTTCAGACTCTCAGAGTTAGAGCTAAATCCATGACATTTAAAATTATGAAAACAAGTGAAATTAGTTTTTCTATACTATACCTGTACAGATGAAACTTGATAGTCCTCCATAGATGACATCATCATTGTCTGGTAATATAAAGGGACACCTCGTTTGAACCTCCAAACAGTATTGCTTGCAAGGAATTCTGTTGCTGCAGTGAAACTGTGTGACTTCAAAATACTGGGAACAGAGCCAGGCTTTGTAGACAGTCTGAAAAAAGAGAAGAACCAGAAATATAGATGGATGACAATAGCACTGTCATTATTAGAAGAACATACTGTACTGTACACCAACATTAATGCTGCTTTTGGAAGAAAATTTTGAGAGAGTATCACCTGGTTAAAATATGCTCTTAACTTTTGACTGTCCTCCCACTTCAGAAATGAAAACTCCAGCCAAGCCATTTGAAAGCAACAGTTATTCAGGACTAGGCTTATGTTATTGTATTATCTTAGTTTGCAAACAGTTTTGTCTCTTAGATCTGACTTTTTATTAGACATGTGCATGCATGGAACACAGCCCTCTCCCTGCACCACCATATACTAAGTGAGATCCTAATCTCATTTGAAACTGTACAAGGACAAATTTATGAAAGTGCATGCAAGAAAGAGTTGAAAACTGGGCTCAGGCCAAGTCTGTCTTTATATGGTCTAGAGTTAAGTTATCAGGTTGCAATAGATGGTGCTGCTTCCCTTCAAATAAAACCTCATCCAGCCCACAGCATTAAAACACGCATTAGGGTACCTGAACACCAACAGCTGTAGACCAGGGGATAAATCTGCTGCAGTGAAAACCAATGTCTACGTTTGGGTGCTAAGAGGAACACTTTAAAGATGCTCTCATCTGATGCTCCATAGCCTTGGCTGCAGGACTTGGGATTTTGCAATTATTGTCATTTAAACAGAAAAGCAAAATACACACGCTGATTTTAATTTCTGCTACCTTCTGTGTTCCAAACAATGATGTCTGACATTAATATTAAACTCTTTTGGACACGGAAGAGTTTAAAGCAAAATTAGGTTGGACACTAAGCTACAGAGGTGATGAAAAACCTGCGTAACTGAGAACAAAGAGATTTCCTTGTTCTCCATTTTATTTTACACTTACCAGTTTTGGAGTATATTACTTGCTGTCTACATACTTGCTATCTAGGTTGTTGCATAACAAAAAAAAATTCCTTTTTTGTATTTTTAAATTATCTGAAAATCCTAGTAACTACCTTTCATTAAACATTGACTGAAAACAAATATAGTCAGCTGATCATTTCCATTCTTTCTAGGAATGATGTAATAAAAAAACCTCCTATAGATTAAATTTTTAAGTGTAGAAAGTTAAAAAACTGACAACTGAAATGACCAATCTAGATGAGAGTTTGGTTTGGTTTCAGTGTGTTTCATGTCATTGGTTATAATTTTATGAATGTCAATAACAGCCTAAATTGTATAATTAATTTCAATGTAGTAGCCCCAGAATCAACAAAATTTTATTTTAGATTGTTTGCAACAGTGTCAGGTATGAGTAAAGTTGCTAGGTGAAAAAATGAAGCCTTTGACACTAATCTATGGTTTGTGATTATCTCTTTATAGTAGTTTTTGCCTACTACATTCTATACAACATGTTTTTTAATCACAAATTCCGTTTTAATTGCTCACTAAGGTTTCTTATCCACAGTAAATGATTAATGAGAAAGAAGGCAAGGAAGTGTGTGTACTTTTTGTTCTGAAATAAACTTTCAAGCAGAAAGTGATTTTCCCACTGTTGATTACATCACCCATCACATTTCTGATGCTTCAGTTACTTTACTAACATTTGCAATAATAAATCCCAAAATCACAGAATATACTGAGTTGGAAAAGACCCACAAGGGTCATTGAGTTCAACTCTTGGCCCTGCTCAGGACCATCCCAAAAGTCACACCGTGTGCATTGTCCACACGCTTCCTGAGCTCTGTCAGGCTGGTGCTGTGACCACTTCCCTGGGGAGCCTGTTCCAGTGCCCAAACGCCCTCTGGGTGAGGAATATTTTCCTACCTAAACCTCCTCTGGCTTCGGGCCATTCCCATGGCTCCTGTCACTGGTCACCACAGAGCAGAGATCAGTGTCTGCCCTCCCCTTCCCCTCACGAGGAAGTGGTAGCCTGCAATGAGATCTCCTCTCCAGGCTGAACAGACCAAGTGACCTCAACCTCTCCTCATATGGCTTCTCCTCAAGGCCCTTCACCACCTTTGTTGCCCTCCTCTGGATGCTGTCTAATAGCTTTATATCTTTCTTATACAGTGGTATCCAAAACAGCACACAGGATTCAAGGTTAGGTGAAATCAAGCAGTAGTTTTTCTATTTATAATTAGTAATCATAGTCAATAGGTTGGAAACAGGAATGCTGGGTCTGATAACAGTTATGCATTCACAGAAGTTCTTTCCTGATCTTAGATGTGTTTAGTTTGAACCTACATGTTCTCTTCATAAAATAGATCTAATAGAAGTTGGTTTATGACTCATATCTGAAAGTGTAAATCAGTTCTTAGGAAGTATATTGAACAGTCCACCATACATGGTAACAAGAAAATGAGTAAAACCATGTGTCTACTGAAGCAAGACAGAAAATGTTTATTCAGGAGCAGAAGTAAATAATGCAGTCATGGGCTTCTATGAAGATTTTTTGTGTATCTAATCTCCATTCATACACATCATCTTCCTGCTCTGATTCACAAGTCCTCAAAACTACTTTTGAATTCTTGTCCATATTTCTAAACAATGCATGACTGAGCAATACCTGTTCCTGAGATCTGTTTCTCAGATGAATGCCTCCCACTCTGTATCCTTCCTTATTTTCTTTACCCCGCAGCCAATTTCAAACTTGTCTATAGTCTACATTGATATTTTTAATATTCTGTCTCTCTTTTGCTCTGTTTTCCCCAGTAAGGCTGCACAGATTCCTAGACAAGGTTCATTCATGGTTTCTGTCAGTCAGTTCGCTGCCTTCACAGCTTTGGCCTATGCTAATTCCTACACTTCCAGAGAGTGCTCAGCCACCGTCTGAAAAAAGGTGTATGCCAAGAACTGCACTCAGTAATCAGTTTTGTCTTTTTCTGGAGAAAAAGGAAAATGATGTAGGTGTTTACAGTTGAGCTGTGCTGGGTTAGCTGGTAGACCAGAATGTGGTCCCTCTCTTCTCTTACCACTACAGACATGATTTAAATGCCTTCTTTCCTAACAAACATACCAAATAATCTCTCCTACCCTTCCTGGACTTTCTAGGCACCAGAGGTTTTGCACTGACATCTTACTTTCATGCTTAAATATGTGTGACCCGGGAGGGAGTAAGGAAGTGGGAGTTTTGATCTCATATTTCTTTCAAATAACTCTTCCCAACAGCATTTACATGAGTCCCATGGCTGACCCAGATGAGTAAGAAGATGCAGAGCAGCCCAAAATCTTTTCTCTGTTTCAGGAACAATGAGAAGTGGCTTTTTAGCTTTAGTAGAAGTTCATAATCTAGAACTGAAATTTCTTGAAATTTCTTGAAATTTTCCTAATGATAAAGAAGATAATATGGCCATCAATTGGCCAGTATTCCTTCTTTTACCAATACTGATTCTTTTGGTTGGGAATTTCTCTCTACCTCCTAGAAAGTCCAAAATATTGATTTTCAGAGTCTTAAGACATACATTATGTAACAAGGCCTGAAACTATCAGTGAAATACACATTGGCCCCTATATTGAGTGTGGTGTTCAAACTATGCTTCAATATGAGAGTTTTTCCTTTTTAAGGAGCATCAATAGCTAAACTCAAAAGATTTTCAAACACAATAAATGTTTCTCTTATATAATATTTTATATAAAAAACATTTAAACATTAGCTAAATTCTATTAGGATTTTCCTATGTAATTTTCAATGTGTCAGTGGAAAAGATGGAAGGTGTATGTGAGGAAACCATGTGTTAAATGGCCAGAGGGGGGAAAAATCCTCTAGATTTCTCATTAAGTAAAGTCTTCTAGAGCAGAATCTTTGTTCTTTCAAAACACGCACTTTCTCAGGATTCAAGTCAATAAAACAAATGCCTGGGATTACATTCCAAGGAAAGGAAAGAGGGGCTGTGGCAGCAGTGGATGAAGCTCTCACTGTATTATATCCTCATTTGAATGAAACAAAGTTAAAAATAACACCTAACAAAAACTGAACTAAGCTGAGTTACAAGATGGGAAAGATACATACATTATAGAGAAAATGTAAGAATAAACAATTGTCAATAGTCTTTGAAGATAAAAGAGGAAATCTAGTGATTTAAAAAAATAATTCAAAATTTTTAGAAGACGAAATAATAATTTATTAACAGATACTGTATTCATTGAAGTCAAGTTACCAAAACCAAACTAAACAAACAGATGAAGATTTGTGATTTTTCAGAATTATAAATGTTTCTGTGTGTTATGATCTTTCATGCATGTTGCATATATATAATGTAGAAAAAAAATTGAATGGTCTTATGTTTTGAGCTGGACTGGGAGATGATAGAAACCTTTGAAATATCATAGTTCCTAACAAAAATCTGGCAAACCGAACTCAACAGAAAAGGCTTCCATGATTTTCTGTTGGTTTTGGTTTTTTTTCTTTTTTTTTTTTTTTAACAAGGGAAAGAACTAAAATAAACTGGATTATTGATGCATCATGGCAACCACATGCATAGACTAAATACTTGAATGTATCTAAATATCTATTCTCTTTACCATCAACATAACTTTAAACATTCTGCATTTGAAAAAGATACGGTCCTGGCTATTAGATGAGACACTGTGATGGCAAGATAGTATCACATAAGAATAAAATAATTTCTCATGTACAGAAGCATACATATAAAATCTCAGAAGGATTTAGTGGTAATTTGGCTCACCTCAATAAATTAAATTTACCTTACTTTGTACCCATAGGAAAAAAAAAATAAGATTACACTTTTGAAAAAGTGCATGAATCAATGCTAGCTTTATATATCTATATTCATATGTCTGAGTGCCTTTCTAGAATGAACATCATCAAAATCTTGGTAGTGTGAAATTATGAACAATACTATGACAAAAACTTATTATCAATTGGGCAGAATAATTTATTATTTGGCATTTATTTTATTTCTACAAGTTTTCTACATTTTTATTTTTACAAGTTTCAAGCTGAAAAAAATATTTCATTACTTCAGTGACCAATAACTGAACACA